TAAGCCTGTTAATACACCTTTCAATTAGATTTTTGGGTTTATTTCCCCAGTTGAATTATCCAGAGGAAATTATTAATACAAATGAGAATAAATGTTAGAACTTTAGATAGGGTCTTGGTGACTACCTATTTAGTTTACAGAGGGGAAATTGAGCCTAGTGACCTTCATGGGTTTGCCCCAGGTCACAGAGCTGGTGAGTGAAGCCCTAGAAGTAGAAAATGTGACTTGCCCCCCTCTGCTGCCTTCCTTCCCAGAACCATTTCGCTTTGACAGAGGCTCAGTCAGGGGGACAGTGGGACTGATCTGTAAATGATCTAACTTGTCATTGCAGAAAATGTACTTAATCCATGGCAGAATTTCAGCCCCTCAGCCAAACTTCATCCATCACATCATAAAGAATAATTTGCCAAAGAGAGGTTTGAAAATCCAAACCAGATTCTTCCCTACTCCTAGAGGGGCTGGCTCCGTTACACCGCACCAAGCCAACACTTTCCAGCCAGCCTTTCGCTGTTTAGGGTTTGATCGTTTGATAAATGAGATCTAGTAGATTAACGTCATCCCTTCAGCAGAATTTTTGACCCCACTGATGCTACTCCAGAGGAAGGGGATAGAGAAATGGCTCTCAGAGCCAGTGCCCAGGCTGCAGAGAGCCTGGCTGTGTGGTCTCAGCCCCTGGAAGAGCCTCGCTCAACACCTGTCTTTACCTCAGTTGCTGCCGCTCAGATGCACATGCTCGCACACTGCCCTTGGCCTTTGAGATCTCGAACATTTGTTAAGACGGAGGATTGGCAATCATTAAACGAAGGGCACCAAGCTGGGATCCAGCTTCACTTGAAGCATCGGTGAAGAGCACGATTCCTTCTCAGAATCTGAGATTGATTTTTTTGCTGATGATTCAAAAATCCAATGCTAAAATTCTGAAAAGAAAAAAATTATGCTTTGCCCAATTTAATGGGATGTGTTGGAGGAGTTAAGAGAAAAAAAATCAAACCAAAGACGATTTCCTTCTGTAATGGCAAGCAAAGATACCTCTGAAAGTTAATTTAGGAGAATGTTTATAGTTCTGAAAATCCCACTCTGAGACCACTCTGGGTGCTCACAGTGATCTCCTGAGCCTCCCCTTGCAGGATAAAGGTGATTCAAGTTTATTGGGTAGAATACACCGCTTACAGAGGACTTCCTTGCTGTATGGCGATTCCACCTTCAGGCTCATTCACCAATCAGCAGAATTGTGCTTTTTCCATCCAGGGCTCTTGGCCAGAACAACCCTCTCTCACTGATTAACTCAGTCAACCGAGCGCGTCCTGTGTTTCCACCGGTGTTTCAGAAATAATCAGGACACAAATTTCTGCCCTTACGGCCTTGAGAGAGGAGAAACAAGAAACTCAGTACTGACACGACCAGGTCCTCAGCTTTGGGGTAGAGCACTTGGAATCAGACAGACTTACAGCCAGATGTCAGCGCTGCCATTTACTTGGAGCGGCAGACGTTGGCAAGGATTAACTCCATTCTCTAAATTGTCATTTCCCTCTCCATAAAGTCTGTCCTCTCAGGGTTAGTGTAGAGATGAAATGACAAATTGTGCATGAGGCCCTTAGCACAGTTTTGGGAAACAGTAAGCATTCCGTGAACATAATCGGGGGTACTAGTAACTGAGATGTTTATAGGATGCTATGGGGGCCCAGAGAAAGGCGATTAGAAGAACAGGGGAGAGGAAGGGATCTCTGTCAAGGAAGGACTCCCCGACCCAGTCCTGTTATGGGCTGAAGGGAAGGGGACAATGTCTCAGGGAAGAGGAACAGAATCTGCTTAAGCACAGAGTCCTGACCGAACACTGTGTGTTTGAGGAACTTGGCACAGAAGAAGCTTAAGACCCCTCAATGCAGAGCAAAGGGACAGTTACAGAAACGGAGGCTACAGGGCGACCAGGACGAGGCCATGGAGGGTGTTAAAAGGCAGGTAAAATGCACACAGTGAAGGGGGAACGAGTTCAGAGTTTTAAAAGAGAGTAAATGACCTTCAAGAGCTTAAATTTGAAATCAATCCAAGATTGTCAAGCGAGTGTCCTAAATGTTGTACATTAACCTTGGCTCTGGGGAGCCTTAGTGAGAAAACTTATATTCTGACCCAAGGCAGCAAACTTAGAAATTAGAAAATAAAATTTTAAAAAAAGGAAACAAAAGCCAAACTTCCTACTTGGAAATTTTAAAACGCGTTTCTCTATAACTCTTGGGTTAAAAATAAAATCAAGAGTTGTAAGACAGGCTATTTAGAAAAGAATTATGAGAGGACTCTTTCTGAAAGCCCATGGGATGAAACCAGAATGGCACGTAATGGGAAAATTTGGAGTCTTGTTTACATTTATTAGAAAACGTGTTATTAAAACGTGTTTTTAAAAATACCAAAATGAAATGAATTAAGCAGTCAACTCACAAAACTGAGAGAGGAAAGTAAACCCAAAGAAAGTTAAAAAGAAGGAATCAGATGTGTTAGCAACAAAGCACAGTTTTTAAAAACAGAGTTTATCAAGGGCGGTGCCTGTGGCTTAAAGGAGAAGAGCGCCGGCCCCATATGCTGGAGGTGGCAGGTTCAAACCCAGCCCTGGCCAAAACCTGCAAAAGAAAAAAAAAAAAAACCACCAAGAGTTTATTAATAAAACCAAAAGCTCTACTTTGTAAAAAGCAAAAAATAAATAAACCTTGGACCAATCAGATTTTTTAATGAGATAATACACAAATAAAGAGCATAAAGTAAAGGACCACCAATAAAAAGAATAGATTTCAAATTCTAAGACAGTATCATATACAGCTCGGCTCTCATAAAAGTTAACTAGAATTTTAGTTTATAAATAATAGAAAGCCTGAATAGATTCGGAACTATGGGAGAGAATGAAAGGTGGTGGCAGATTTATCACCAAGCTCAGATGATTCTGTAAATAGATTCTCAGGAGCAGATAACTACTCTACAGACACAGAGGAAAAACTTCTAACTCAGACTAGTTAACGTTTATTACCAAAACAGGCAAAGGATGGCACCAAAAATAACTCTGGGTCTGTATCATCTACAAATATAAAAACACTGAATAAAATATTAGCAAATGAGTGCAAAGGTGTAAGAAAATCTGTTAATATTATTCACGATACTAAGGTTAGGATAAAACCCTATCTCTTTATACATCCTCTCTCCTTAGATAGAAAAATTGTAAAGCATTTGATAAAACTCAGCAACATTCCTGCCTAAAACAAAAATGAAAAGCTCTGGGAGGCTCGGCGCCTGTGGCTCAAGTGGCTAAGGCGCCAGCCACGTACACCTAAGGTGGTGGGTTCGAATCCCCAGCCCGGACCCGCCAAACAACAATGACGGCTGCAACCAAAAAATAGCCGGGCGTTGTGGCGGGCGCCTGTGGTCCCAGCTACTTGGGAGGCTGAGGCAGGAGACTCGCTTGAGCCTAGGAGTTGGAGGTTGCTGTGAGCTGTAATGCCACGGCACTCTACCCAGGGGGACAGCTTGAGGCTCTGTCTCAAAAAAAAAAAAAAAAAAAGAAGCTCTGGGATAGGCAGGAATAAAACATACCCAATATATTCTATAACAAACATCATAGTAGTTAGTGAGCCATCAGAAGCATTTCTTTCAAAGTTAGGGATAAAATAAGAAAGCTTGCTATTGCTATTATTATTTAATACCATATTGGAGGGTTTTGCAATCACAGTATAGCAAGGAAAAGAAATGAGAAGCATAAACACTGCAAAAGAAGAAATCAATAAAACTACCACTGTATTTGCAGATGTCATTGTCTACCCCCCCAAAAGTAAAAATCCATGATTAAAAACTATTTGGATGCCAGGTACAGTGGCTCACTCCTGTAATACTCGCACTCTGGGAGGCCGAGGCAGGAGGATCACCTGAGCTCAGGAGTTCGAGACCAGCCTGAGCAAGAGTGACACCCCATCTCTAAAAACTAGCCAGGCCTTGTGGTGGGCACCTGCAGTCCTAGCTACGTGGGAGGCTGAGGCTAGAGGATCACTTGAGCCCAGGAGTTTGAGGTTGCTATGAGCTATGATGCCACAGCGCTCTATCCAGGGTGACAGAGTGAGACTCTGTCTGGGGGAAAAAAAAAACTATTTGAACTGACAAGAGTTCAAAAACTTGAAATAGTTTCAATCCAGTGAAATCAGCATAAGTTTTCTACACATCAGCAGGGATATGTTAAAAGATGTAATGAAAAGGAAGAATCCATTTGCAAAAAAAGCCATAAAAGTATCTCAGAATAAATCTAACAAGATTTATATGAAGAAGAGCATAAGAAGTTTAAAAGTATAGTTGACCACCTCCCTACACTGACCACTTCCTTAAATTGGCCTAATTTTCACAGACTGAACACAGATATGTACGTATCAGCACAGTAAGCCTGGTTCCTTATGTTGACATCCTCTGTATGTTGACCAGTTTGTTTCAGTCTGTTGGGTGGTCAACTTACTGTAATGTAAGCTGAAATTTCACAAACTGAAATAAGCATAATTAGTGAAAATTACCTGCAGTCTCACCACTCAGAAGAAACCTCTACTGAATTGTTAGGGGTCTGTCCTTCTGAACTGCATCAGCATTTAAAAACTATGTTTTGTCATGTCGGAATGAAATACACTATGTATGAAGTGGGGCTAAGAAAGAAGATAGAGGCTATAAAACACAGATTTGTTAGGAAGGAGCAGAGATTGAAAATTAGATTTCGGAGTAGATGCATGAGCAGGAGAGGCCTCAGTTTGATGACAGGATGACTTAGATGCCATGTTACATCCACCACCAGATTCAGTCCGAGGCAGGAAAAGAAGTCCCCTGGAAAGAGCTCTGATTGGCTCGGTTTTAATTTCATCCTCAATTCTGCTTACCCTCCATCCACACCCTATTTTAGAAATAAAGCAAAACAAACCAAACAAAACCAAACAGTTGAGTGGTTGGGCTTTGACTCAACCCCCTGTTGTATCTCCCTTTCTGTTCCCCAGACCGGCCCGGTTTGCTGAATGTGAAGCCCATCGAGGACATCCAGGACAACCTGCTGCAAGCCCTGGAGCTCCAGCTCAAGCTGAACCACCCTGAGTCCTCTCAGCTCTTTGCCAAGCTGCTCCAGAAAATGACAGACCTCAGACAGATCGTCACGGAGCACGTGCAGCTCCTGCAGGTGATAAAGAAGACGGAGACGGACATGAGTCTGCACCCCCTCCTGCAGGAGATCTACAAGGACTTGTACTAGCGGGGTCCTGATCCACTGACGGCGTTTCCCTTCTTCCAATTGCACTATTACTTTGAGGGAAAAATCTAACACCTAAGAAATTTACTGTGAAAAAGCATTTTAAAAAGAAAAGGTTTTAGAATATGATCTATTTTATGCATATTGTTTATAAAGTACATGTACAATTTACTTTTAATATTAAAAATTACTGTATTATGAAATTGCTGATGGCAAAGGCTGAGTCTGGTGTGTCCCCGCTCCACCCACCCACCTACCCCCCTGCCTTTTTTTTCCTTTTATTTTCTTCTCAGACCTTTCTTTCCTTCCATTGTTTTTTCCTTACTTCCTTTTTCTTTTTCTCTTCTTAGGCATTTTTTAAAATGTGAAAGGAACGGCTGATAAACTTTCACTCTCGGTAAATTAATTTTTCACTCCATTTACAACTGTTCTGAACTCTCCCACCTGCTTTAACCATCACAGCCATAGAACTTCCAGACTAAAAACTGCTCAAAGCGTGTGTTTTGTAACCTGGATGTGCTAGTTTGGCAGCATCTCCCGAGGCTTCCCAAAAGTAATGCTGCCTTCCACACTCCTCAGACACCAGCAGCCTATTCTATATACTGCCTGTTAGGGGGACGCTGGCACCTACCCACAGAGCCAGCGTGGACTGAACAAGGAGCACTGTCCGAAGCTCTGTGGGACACAGACGTGTTTTAAAGATTTGGGCACCTGCCAAAAGGAATTTACAGTTAATCAGAGGAGCATAGATGAATCTTTCTTCAAACAGGCTCTAATACCCAGTAGAATGACGTGCCAGGTGAATGGGGCAGACTCTTAAGTGCGCTAAGATTTCGAAGGAGGTGAAGATGAATGAAGATTGGAGTATCAGAAAGGAATCTGCAGATTTGTTGAAGCAGGGCTCAAGGAAGTGTTGGACTGGGATAGACAGGCAGTAGGAGAAAAGACATTTTCCTAAACCAAAACAGGAGCAACGACAACAAAAGAATGAAGAAGAGCCACTTTCTGGTTCCTGCTCCACGCAGAGCAATTTTTCTATGTCATCCTTCTCAGAACTCCTTTGCCCCAAGATTTCTTTTTTTTTTTTTTTTTGAGACAGAGCCTCAAGCTGTCCCCCTGGGTAGAGTGCCGTGACATTACAACTCACAGCAACCTCCAACTCCTGGGCTCAAGCGAGTCTCCTGCCTCTGCCTCCCAAGTAGCTGGGACCACAGGCGCCCGCCACAACGCCCGGCTATTTTTTGGTTGCAGCCGTCATTGTTGTTTGGCGGGTCCGGGCTGGGGATTCGAACCCACCACCTTAGGTGTACGTGGCTGGCGCCTTAGCTGGTTGAGCTATAGGCGCCAAGCCTGCCCCAAGATTTCTTACTTTCTGAATTCAAAGGTTACGTATTTGTATCACATATGTAATGCTTGCCTCCCCAACAAATAGACTGTAAGTTCCCTAAAGGGAGGGACTTTTTAGCACAATTAATAGATCAGTTGGTTAAAGCCACCAAATACACTTTCACTGGCTACTCAAGAAGCCATCATACCATGTCTTTGAAGAATGTCTTATAATCAAAATATCTTGGGTGGCACCTGTGGCTCAAGGAGTAGGGCACCAGACCCATATACTGGAGGTGGTGGGTTCAAACCCGGCCCCAGCCAAAAACTGCAAAAAAAAAATCTTAAGGCCTCTGTTATCTGGAATGGTTGTTTCCATTGACCTAAATTATATCCCTGCCACTTTCCCTTTGTTTATCTTGCCGTATGGTATGCATTTACACTCCGGAGTACTAAGTTTAGATTTGAGACTTTGAAGCCGAAAGATTAAGAAAGCCCTTTTCATCTTTGACTTAAAAATAAGCATATCCCCAAAGAATACAGCTGGAGAAGTGAGTCCTGACCCCAGCCCTGAAAATGTAGGATCTCTTAACCTTTAGGAGAAACAACTTGGGAGCTCAAACCCTTAGAATAACAGAGACGGCCAAGTCACTGGGGCACCAAAGACTGAAGCCGTTGTCTACGTGACATCAAAACAGTTGGAAGGAAAGTGACAAATTCAGTCAGTCATATGGCTCTTTTTTTCTTCCTTGATGCCAAACATATTTTGAAACATCCAGATGACTGACTGGAGTCTTCGTGCTGTTTGTCCCACGTCTAGAGTTTATCCCATGTTAAGAGATCTTGAGAGAGAGCCACAAGCAGAAGGCAAGGTAAAGAGCCCACCTCCAAGGAGCTCCCTCGTTTACAAGGTTTCTCAAACAAAAAGTCTTTCAGCTCAGGCTGATCTCAGTTCCCACCCGCGCTCTCCAGCTGTCCAAGCCTTTCCACATTATTGGAACTGTTCTTGCCAATGGAGGGAGGAAGAGAGAAGCTCTCAGCGCTTTGGCACTGATGGTTAGCATTAAATAGCTTTTAAATCCTGGCAGCTTGCAAATTCCCATCTCTCTGACTTTTTCCCTGTGGCTTGGATGACCATTTGCTAAATATTTTACGACACATTATATTCAGCCTCCAAAGCTCCTGCTCCTTTCTCCCGGCTCTCTGTCCCCCAGGGTGATTCACGAGTTAATCAACAAATGTATCATCAGTTATTCATAGCACTTTCTCTGGACACAAACACACTTAGGGATTTGTGTTAACAAAAATAGGAAGAAAAGTGACTTTGGTCAAGAGTCAGAAAAAGGGTTTCCAGGCTCCCACTGGGGCCCTCCCCCCCGCACCTCCTCTGACCGGGCTCCTTTCTGTCTCTGTGCGGTGTGGAGCCCAGGAACGGCAGGGAGGGAGCCAGGGCTGCCAGCCCTGTTTCTAAAGCCACAGTCAACACCCAGGCTGTCCTGAGTTTCTGGCATCTTTTTTAAAATTTGGGTACAGAACAAGGATACTAGGGGGAGGGGGACTCTGCAACAAGACCCCGAGAGGCGGAAGTGCCCAGGGGTGGTGTTATCAGCACATTCCCAGTTACAGGCTTGGGGACAGAAACCAGAAGGCTAGGCCGGGCACGGGGCACACGCCTGTAATCCCAGCACTCTGGGAGACCAAGGAGGGTGGATCATTTGAGCTCAGGAGTTCGAGACCAGCCTGAGCAAGAGTGAGACCCTGTCTCTAATAAAAATAGAAAACTCAGCTGTGTGTTGTAGTAGGCACCTGTAGTCCCAGCTACTTGGGAGGCTGAGGCAGAAGGATCACCTGGCCCAAACAGATTGAGGTTGCTGTGAGCTATGATGACGCCATGGCAGCCTACCCAGGGCAACGACAGAGTGAGACTCTGTCTCAAAATAAAAAAAAAAAAGAAAAGAAAGAAAAGAAACCAGGAGGATCACTACATCAGCTCCACCAAGGACAAGAGAAGGCAGGGGAATGAGGCTTCTGTGATAGGCTTTCTGAATTCTGGACTCCGATGGCTTTCCTGGCTTCCTCAAGGCTACGGAAGGCAACTATAGAAGGGACATCTTTTCTGAGGGTGGGCACTGTCTTGCTTGACAGCAACCACTAATTGTGGTCCTGATAAAAGGAGGGGAGGGTGGTGAGAGGGGTTGGAAATTAGCTCCCGGGTACGCATTCCCTTGGAAATACTTACTGGGGAGTTGGGATAGGCATGGGGGCTCCTAATTCTAAATCCTGAAAGAACCAATGTCATTTCCACCATGACTGCCCCAGTTGTTTTCTAATTCCTCCTTTTGCACATACTCACTGGAACAACTTGAGGTCAGGACACAGAAGGACCAAGACACCTGTCGGTCACTGTGCAGCCTCCTGCCAGCTCCCAGCTGTTTGTATCATTAGCTCCCTTGTCATTTGCACATCCCCACACTCGCCACCTGAGTGTTCAAGGTGGGCCCTCCAGGGAGTGCATCAAGATGACCTGAAATAGCAGGTCTTAGAGTTCAGAAGAGCACACGTCACCATGGAGTCCCACCGCATTCCTATGGCATTCATTAAATGCATCTTCATCCATACCCCGGTCCAGTCTTACCCAGATACAAAGGTGAGCTCAACTAGGCCCTACTCATAAGAGGAGCACAGTCTGTGAATGAATCATCAGTCACAACTCAGCACAAGTGACAACTGCCCAGAAATGCAAAGGATTCGGGGAGGATGCGGTTGGGCACAGAAGTGTAAATGAACTTCATGTGTTCTCTGAATGGCAAGAGGATGGGTATGGCTGCCACAGTGGAGGGGCTGAAAGGTGGATGCAGCCAGGTCAGTGTCCAAGAGCACGGCAAGCTCATCCTCCATGGGAAGGAGCTCTCTTGGGCTGTGTTCATAGGCAATTTGACTCCAGAAAACGCTGCCACACGGAAGAGGGACATGATCAAATTTGCAATTTGGAAAGTCAGCTTTCCAAAGGTCAACACTCCCAAAAGTAGAAACCCCCTCTGCAGTGCTTCCAGTGGTTGTCCATGCCCCTGAAACAACTACTTGCTGGGATGGAAGCTCTCTCCCAAGCCCCTTGGTGATTTCCATCCCTAGTCCTGGCTCTTCCCCTGGGGTCATACTTATCACATGCTTATTCCTGCACCCTAGGGGCTCTGGCTGTCCTCCTCCCCTGCAATCTGGTCATGATCTGTTGGCCCAGTCACAGACAGCTTAACACCCTCCCCCTCCGATCTCCATCCCCTACCATCCTTCAGACATCCCCCTAACCTACAGAGGTCCTCTGCTTCCAGGAACTTTGCCTCAGCTTCTTCACCTAGTTCATAAGAATCTCAAGGTCATTTTTATTCCCATGTATCAAAACCTGCCTGTCCTACATCTCATTTCCAGAAAGGGCCTGCATTGGTCCTATTAATAAAATTCTAGAAAATCAGAGTTCAAAGAAGCCACCAGACTTATTTGATAGATGAGGACCCTGAGGATTGAGGATTCAGGAACATGCCTGAAGTTAGGAGTTTGCTAGTGTCAGTGGAGTCAAAGGTGATTCTGATCACCTGGTGTTCTCAGCGACACTGCCACCAGCTCTGGGGGACAAGCAGGTTAACAAGAGGGTCTGCGTGGCTGGGACAGACTTTGAGCTAGTAGGAGTACCTGCTGGGGGGAGTGAGGGAAAAGAAGGGAACAGAGCTCCGAGAGGAATTGTGAAGGCTGCGGGATTACTATTTTAAATTCTCAGGACTGTATCTAGTGCACAGAGCAGTATTTGTTCAGTAAATGGCAGCTGTTATTGGAGACAGTATCCTGGTGTGAATTTTACAGTTACACTGCTTTGGGTTAAAATTTTAAC